ATTATACTGATTACTCACATTGGCCGGAGGTGTTTCAGTATCAAGGCATCATACAAGAATAATAGAATCAAGACAAAAAATTGCACATGATGTTTTCCTTCTTAGTAATGTTAATGTAAAGTTCACTGTGGAAGTTGACTGATTATTTATTGCTCTGAGCTGATTTGTTGCATTTCTTCTTTTACCTGTAACTTGTGCTATAGAGTCCATAGAGATGAGAGTATTTAGTTAACATTTCAAGCTAAGTTTTAACCTCTCCATCAACAACACCTATTGTACTAATTGAGTAATCAAGTAAATAGTGCTACTCATAATTGAAACGTTGGGAAATATTGTAAATGTGTAATTATTGTGAATATTGTAAATACTAAAATTGATTGAGATGAAGCAAATGTGAAGCACTTAAAGTCATGGGTATATATTGATCATAAAACCACATCATTTACTTACATTGTAATGAAGCCTCTTCCCTATGTACATGCAGGCATCTAAGTAAATATATATATATATTAGATCATAAAATAATTACTAGATTACTATAATGCTTAATGGATATATTTAAATCGTTCATTAGTTGCATTTAAATTATGGCTAATCCCCAAAGTGTGGTGGTTCCTGCCCCAAAGCAGTCCCACTTCACTGTTGATTCAAATCAGAAGATCCAAACCAGGATTCTCTTTCATGGATCCAACCAAGTGGTACAAGTGAAAAACCAGTGATACTTTTTCCTACTGTAATGCATTCTTTTTCAGACTTTTGTTTCCCTTTGGCTTTTTTGCTGCCATCTAAAGTGGACAAACGGGCATAACAAAGATGGCATTGTTTTCCTACCCATGTCGTTCACTTGCCTGAAGTCATGGTCAACTATAATGAGTGAGGGTCCCAGGACGAGGAGAGGTGCAGCGGGAGAGGAAGGGGTTAAGCGTGTTCCGCAGTGGGAACAGAAAAGGGGGAGCTGCTGCAGATGATAGACTCCAGATGTGTCTCAGATAAACTCAGGGACGAACGGGGTGTGTTTGGACTGCAACACTAGCTCTCTCTGGCTTTGGGGGTTTATTGAACTAGCAAGCATAGCCCACACGATAATAGTGACTAGATGCTTCTACACAACTATGCATATTTTTGGAAGAAAATATACGGTTAACCCTTTAATCTTCACAAGAAAGAAATGCACTTTTGTGTTCATTTTCTGAGATGTAGAAGAACTAATTCACATTTTTTGTTTGTTTTTCTCTTTGAATCCCCTATTTATGTTTTTATTTCTTTATCATAGGCCTTTACCAAATGGTTGAGATGCAGCTTGATGGTATAAGTGCCTAAAACCAAGTGATAGAGATTCCCCAATGAGGTCGATTTCAGTAGATACTTGTAACTTTAAAAGTGATCCACCAAATGAACCATTAAACTGTTAAAACCATTTTCCAAAGAAAGCTCCCCATAAACAGAAATTATAATTATTCTAAATCCATGTATTCAATGTAATACGTTTATGTAATACAGACAAATATTTTTTATTGACTCAAATTCAAAAAGCCACAATAGAGGCGTCAATCTCACTCATTGTTATATTTTAAAAGTTCAAATAGGAGTAAAATGTTGCCAGATAGATACAAACTAAACAGCATTGGCTAACTTGATATGTTTCTGAAGGTTGTGCTCCCCCAACTTCCTTGTCCTGCGTCTCTGGTCCCCCCCTGACCCACTCCCTCTCGCTGTCATCCTCCTACTGGCTACAACTGCCTCAGCTCACACTGGTCCCATTCATAACTGCAACATCTGCTGAGTGTCCTTCTTCAGAAAGGGCACCCCTACCTCCATTAAAAGTTACACGCTCCAACATCATACAGACCTTGTATCGTTCTTTTAATGACAGCGAGCCATTCAAAAGTATGCACCTCTATTTTGAAATCCTGGTTAAAGTTCTGACGCCAGTAATATAGCTTTGTGGTTCCTGAGTTTTCCTTGGCACAGCAATATGCAGATCTATTGCAGATTTCAGAAACGTGTAATCAGCTAAGTGAATTTTACACTTGAAATAGATGTGTGGCTTATGGCGGGCTTACCACTAACTACTACATCCAGTTTATTCGCAGTTCAAGGTCGTATCTAATGCAATTTGAATAGAATATTTCTGATATAATCCTGCCATGATGTATGAGTCAAGTAAAGGACAAATTGGACGAGCGTTTTCAGATAATTGCAGGCAAGAGTTGGTTAAATGTGCAATCAAGACAGGAACCCAACATGAAAATAATCTTGGGAATCTGCAGTAAAAGCAGGATATTAGAATAAAAACAAGAGCGGTGCGGATCCTGGTTTCCTGTTTTGGGGGAAGGCCGCAGAAGTAACTTACAGAGCCCCCATTGTGAGCGAGTGTGCTGAGGAGTATAGGGAGGTGGAGTGAGAGGGGCCATATGCAGGGACGGCATGCCCAAAAACCTGAACCAACCGGGGAAAGCAAGGTAGTAAAAAAAAAAAATGAAAAAGGAAACTGTAAAAATAAACGAGCAAGGGCCTCTGGAGATGGCGAGCAGACAGGAAATGACACGCGGCGCAAAAATGGATGACCTTTGGCAAGAAACCATTGTGCCAACGAATGAAGCTTAACTTACTATAGAGTCAGTGATTCTCAAGGTGTGTCACGCGAACCGTAGCCCTTCAGATTTTGGCTTTGGGTAAATGCATAAAAAACTGATATACAGGTTTAATTCAGGTCTGGTTTAATCATGCATTTATCATAATTTACATCCACAATCTACATTAGATCTGGATTGACATAGTCTGATTAGAGACCGGTCTAATGTAGTGTAATCCAAATTGCTGAAATGCCACGCTGTAATTTAATTCTGGTTTAGCATCATGTTTTAGGTATCTTAAATATCTTCACCTCAAAGTGCACATGAGACCTTCTGAGCGTTGCTGGAGATTAGGTCAGCTCCATAATAGCACAGTGAACACAATGTGAAGGAAGAGGAAATTCCTGATTCCAGTACTGTGATAACGAGTGGCCTTTCCTTTTGCTCAGGTTGTGTTTCCAGCTCTTTCTTTAAACAATGCGAGTCTGGCTCTCCGGGCTGCATCGCGGTGTCCCCCTCACTTCTTATGTCTGGACAGCTTCACACTGGACTGTCTTCAAACACTCTCTGGATGTACAAACTATAGGGTTAAAACAAGGGTTGTAGAATTTATTAAAACAGTTCAAGCTGGGTACGTTGGTATTTTATACATAGTTTGTCCCAACAGAAAAGGTCTCGTAAAAGTAAACAAATCTGACCATAACATTTATCCTTCTAACTTGTTATCTTTTGCCTACTTGACTGATGAGTCCTGTGAGTCACTATTTGACTTTTTAGGCTTAGAGTGGGTGTTTTGTTCTCTCTATTTCACTTTTCTTTCTGAAAGCTGTGTGTGAATTGAATGCATGTGAAATTGAGTGATAAAACTACATTGTTTTGAGAGCCATTGGATTGTATTACATAGTTCCATGTTTTTATGTTTTGAAAGTTATCTACCCAGCTTTAACTTTTGGACAAATCCAACCAGTATATACTCAACTAGGTCCAGTGCCAACGACCTAGACAGACCTTTTGTCCATTAGCCAATCAACAAAAAGCTGTTGTTACAAAATATGTATAAAAGTTACTGTACCATTATGCTCTTTTTTAAAGAATAGATTTGTCTTTGGTATGTCGAGGTGTGTTCATTTTATTGTGAAGCTGTTGAAACCGGCATAAAATGAAACCGTTTAAAACGCATTGCCCTGTCCTGTCATTATAAAGTGGAGAACATTAACTGATTCATCATGCAGACATTAGTTTTGTTATACATGTGTGCTATCTAATTTAAATTACTGCTTAATGGTTAAAATAGATTTTAAGACAACATAATGACTAGAACTGATTGATCAAAATGGTGTCTTTTCACAACTATTTCTACCGTTAAGTCGGAGTATACTGCTGCAAACACGAGGGCTGTGTGGCATCACGTAGAGGAAACACTGGGCTGGCCCTGTGCTCTTTCATCAGGACACTAATGAGTCCTGGGACACACTGACCAGAAACGGGCTCATTGTCCGCCCCTGCCCTGTCTACAGAAAGAACCAATAGTTTACCAAAAAGCATGAATTAACTTTATAATGACACATGACTGACTTGAATGAATGGTTGGCTTTTCCACCTCTGTTACAACATTTCAACACGCAGACCTAGCTGCGGATTGACAAGCCATAATTGGTGTCTGCCATTTGTTTTCCGTCTGCCAGCCTGCTCTAGCATTAACTGTGTACTGCACGTCCACACTTGTTGGTCTGGTTCACTTTAACTGGACCAATTCTGGTTAACTTGGAGAAGAAAATCTTTGTTCATGGATGTAAAACCAGCTGAATATGTGTCCACTATAGTCACACTCACAGTCAGTGTATAATTTTAAAACAGGTCAGACTGAGAAGCACAAACCCCCCAAGTGAACCAGACCGGATTCAGTTAAAGTGAACCAATGCACCCATAAATATTTATTTTCAAAGTCCAAACCAAAATACTGCAGCTAAACGTCTGCCTGGAGTCATTCTTTTCTTGCACAATTTTTCTGCCCTATTTTGATCAAAATAGCCCTGGATTTGGAATGTGGACAAGACAATGGTTAGGAGATGCTTGAGGTCGGACACAGTGTGAGACAGCAGAGTAGGGAGTACTGCTGATGGATTGTTTTGGTGGAAAAAACAGTAACAGAAAGTCCCTTGAGGTTTGGCCTACCGCAGTGGCATCCTGAGCAGCATTGATAGAAATATGTCCTTAAGCTGTTAGCGCTAATGCTAGTTAGCTCCTGTAAGGAAATCCTCCTCTGTGACTGGGCCTGTAGATAACTCCTGCTCCTGTGACCAGCCTTATCCTTTCTATTCCCACCTCAGCGATACAAGGTGGTGGTGGGGGGGAGGGGGGTCAATGATTGGTGTTTTTGCCATGTGTAAGGTCTTGATTTATTGTTATTTATTCTTTCTGCAGAGACCTCAAGCACAACTTAATCAGCACCATCTTTCCGGGCGCTTTCCAAGGACTGACTGAGCTACGGAAACTGTAAGTCGTCACAACACCTTTATAGTGTAGAATTATATTATTACAAGGTTTTTAAATTCATAATTGAATCAAAAGATGCTATTTGATGTTTGTCTGAGAACTGATTGGCTGAGCAAGGGTGGTCCCCTCTTTTACACTATTGTATCTAAAAAAGGCTGATTTAAACATGTGACCGGCCATAAACTAGTGATACAATAAAACTGATTAGAGGAACTAGTTAGATGGATTCTATTACATAGTGTCATTTTTATGGTTAAAAAGTGAAGTATTGCAGCTTAAAATATGTGTCCACTAACTTGTGAATTGAAGTATACAGTAGATATGAGGCTACACATTTTTTAGTCGGTCCGGAACACTGCATTTGTTAATATTTCTACGTATAAAGGCTGTGGGAAAAATCTACGTAATCATAGTATATTGTGGAGTATGCGTATTTCATAATGCTTAACAAGAATAGACTTTAACACGTTAAATGTGCTTGTTTCACAAGAGGAGATCGAAAAAAAAATCTCCTACTCGAAAGCTCTTATCCCTGTTATTGATATTTTTTTGTGGCATGAAAGACCGATATGACCAAATGGTCTATTTGTGGACTCCAGTCTTGTTAGGAGGCCTTCTTCTTCCACAAACCCTCTGAAATAAAGTAGCACTGTTAATCCCAGCCTCACAGTATTTGGATTTTGGATTTGCCTCAAGCACGCTTTAGTCATTTAGTAGTTATTTAATGCTAACACCACAGTGCTCAAAAGATTTTATAGGGATTATTTCAAATCTTTTTAATTTAGTAAACTCTTTTTTAAAATCTTTATCTTTGAAAAATTCTTGAAATGGCTCACACTCAGCGCCTGTGTGTCTCACCAGTTGGCCTTGTATGGTGAATGATAGTCAGGAGACAACTATCAACTTTCTGTTTCAAATTCAAGGTTTGAATAGGGATAGTAAATATATGAAACACAAAGATACAAACAAGTAGCACATAATATCCACACAACAATAGGTGATTATTACTTTGCAATAATATTAATAATATTTAGAAGACTACAACAATAAGTGATGTTTTTTATCCGTATGTGAGGAGAGTGAGTTCAGGCCGAGGTTCAGGTTAGTGGAGATCCCACTTTCCAACTTCAGTTATTATTTTTAGCATTTCTGAACCACAAAAACACCCGAAATGGATAAATACATGTTATGTACACACAACAAACAAGATTAAATTTACAAAAAGAAACTGGCAACCCAAATGAGAGACTCGTGTGATGCTACTTTTTCTTTCTAGTTAGATGCTTGAATCAATATGACACTTTTTCTTGTAAATCAGCTAATGTTGTTGTGTTTATTGGAAACACCAAACTTTGCAAAAAAAAATCTTCATTCATTAGAAAATATTTAAACTAATTTTAACTAATTTGTGAGGAAGAACCGGTTGGGATAAAATGTTTGTAATAGATAGGAATGAGTTTGATAGATTTCAATATTTTCATCCTCCTTTCATAGCTTTAAAATCAGAAACTGATCACATTGTATTGTGATTAGTCATTATTTAGTGTTTATCATTTATTTTTCTTTGTAAAAATAAAATAAAAAATCCCAAGAAAGTTCAGTTTTGGTCCATATGTTGGTAGATCTTTGGTGTTTCTTTAAAATCATAAAATGAATGGACACATCGATTATGGGTCACATGGTAGTGTTCATTTTTCACCCATTGCCAATCACTGTCTTTGGGTTTGTCCTTCACTATGGCCATCTCCTCCTCTCTCCTTTTCCCTGTGAGCGCTGTGGCTTATCCAAACAAACAGGGGTAGATAAACACATGCGCTGGACGGCTCTCTGCTGGGTCGTGTCAGAGGTGCAACAGAGCAGATCCCTCCAATACATCACTCTCAGCACTAGAGGCCCTGCTTTTACCCCATTTTCTGATAAACTTTTACTGGCGTCCCATCGAGATGAGATAAGGCAAAGTGGCAGGGACTGTGAATTATCAAACAATTCTGGCAGTTCATGCACCCCAAGGCAATTGTACAAACATGTTAGTATTTATCTAATTTGTTAAGAATGTGCTGCCTTGTCTGCTGTATTAGAGGATTATTTTGATACTGATAGAATAACACGTAAAAAGATATCGCAAAACATGACTTGGCATGAAAAGGGCTCACTGCATTTCTTTGTCTTGGCATCTTTTAGGGACCTATCCAACAACCGCATTGGCTGCCTGACTGCGGACATGTTCCAGGGACTGACCAATCTTACTAAACTGTAAGAAATACCTTATCTATCATTTCCGGATTGTTGTTTGAGTAACCTGAAATATTTAGTAACTGGGGTTGAGACGATACAACATTTCAGTTACAATTTTTATATTAGAATGAATACTCAACACCACAACAAATATTTAAAAATGCTCTATCAATTCACTAAACTGGGATTGTAACTCATAAAGATAACACTTTTTATGGGGTCTCAAGATTTAGTCATAGCCACTTCTGTAAATACTATTCTAAAGCCCAGACTCCTACCTACATATTGTATTTCTCTTAGATTGACAGGGACAGAGAGTAAAGTATTATTATTATTCATTTATCATTATTTATTTATTTACTCTCTTCAAGATATCTTGTCCGATGATGATTGACATTTCCCCGCTGTGGGATGAAAAAAATGTCAATCAATACAACTTTAATACCAGTTTAAAATGTATCCAACCATGCTCAAGAAGGCTCACATTTTGTCCTGTTTATGTAATTGTATGTATTGTAACATACAATAAGTAACATCTATTTATTTTTGAGTTTTATATTGAATTAATATCTTATTTTCAACACTTGACATCCCTATAGGAACCTCTCCGGCAACATCATATCTACAGTGGATGCAGTAGTGTTTCAGGAGCTGCCGTCCCTCAAGCAAGTGTGAGTAGACAAGTCAAAATATAGTAAATATTTAACAAACCAACGAAGTCAATGGCTCTTGTTAATGTTATGTAATTTGTCAAATCAGAAACTTCAACTCAGATTACCTGGTGTGTGACTGTGGGATGCGCTGGCTGCCGGCGTTCTTCCGCAGCAGTTCAGTCCGACTGAGTGATGAGACCCTGTGTGCCTTTCCCAGCAGCCTGAGCGGGAAGCCTCTGAGAGGACTGAGCGAGAGCCAACTGACCTGTGGTAAGAAAAGGATGATTATGCCATTATGTCTTTTCTTCTGACACGTTTGGGCACTCAATTGGGCAACAATTAACAACCAGTGTGTCATTGACAAATACTCAGCCAAGCCAGGATTCCTAATTATTCTTGACAACATACATTTGAAGTAAAAATCTTCTAGAATAGACATTTGTATGCCAGTTCTTTTTTAAGAAGGAATAATGTATTATAATTTGTGACAACATTAAATAAGATTGTACGTACTGTAGATGGCCCACAACATTGATCCAGAACAGATTCAGAAAATGAATGAATAAATATATTTTGTGTAAACTCTGTGTCGTACAGAGATAGTTCAAAACAAAGGAAGGTTGCTCACCCATCATCTATTATACTACTTTGAAGTACAGATGATGGGTGGGCAACCTTTCTTTGTTGTGGGAAAATATGTATCTTCACGGCAAAATAAATACACAAAAATTCATCACTAACTCTCCACTTAACATGTGCAACTCTATTTGAGAAAATAGTAATAGTTATATAGTATAGTCTAAATCTAAATCATACACACACACATACACACACACACACACACAGTGGATACAAGTGGAGATAACAGAGTACATCTACTCTAGTCTCTATCTTCCTGTTGTTTAGATGGTCCTGTGGAACTGCACACCCATTCTCTGCTCCCATCCCAGCGTCAAGTGGTTTTCAAAGGGGATCGCCTGCCCTTTCATTGCACTGCTGCTCTGGTGGATAAATCCACATCTTTGTACTGGCTGCATAATGGTCGGATAGTGACCTTGGACTCTGACTTGAGCATCCAACTAGAGAGCAGTGTGGTTCATGATTGCACCTTCATCACAAGGTACCATGTGTTCAAATGTGTGTGATACATGTAATTATAGCATGTGTATGCCTAACCTGCCTGTTTTTATACAGTGAACTTCTTCTCTACGATGTTAATGTGGAGGCCAGTGGAGAATGGGAGTGTGTGGTGGTCACTGGGCGTGGCAACGTGTCCCGTAGTGTCGAAATAGTGGTGTTGGAGAACAGTGCCTCCTTCTGCCCCGAGGACAAAGTCATAAACAACAGAGGAGAGTTCAGGTGAATTTCGCAACTTCTTTAAGTGCAATTAAATGATAAACTTGTGTTAACTCCATTGTGTTGTTTCCAGATGGCCAAAGACTCTTGCTGGCATCACATCTCATCAATACTGTCTGCAGCTGCGATACCCGTCCTTGTCAGTAGAGGGAGGCATGGAACAGAAGAAAGCCTCTCGCTATTGTGACCGCTCAGGCAGATGGCTGGAGGGGAACTACAGCAGCTGCCACTACACCAATGGCATTACCCGTGTCCTCCATACATTTATCCTGGTCAGTCAAAAATAATTATTATTGTTGAATTTTTTTACGTTGTGCAATTTCCTGTTAAAAATCAATACTGTGCGGATGCACTTTCTGACTCACATGTAAACTGTTTTGCCATTTTATTGGTCAATAATGCCTCAAACATTTATATAACCGGAAGGGAATAGTCTTTCTGTTGTATTTACCCCAAAACACAGTTAAGCAGGCAAGGACATTTCATATGATTCAACCCAAGTATTAGAGAACATCTTCACTGTTGAAATGTTAATACAGTAATTACCGCTATAGACTTCAGTACTAATTACATGTTTCCCCCCTTCTTTTAGAGACCAATTAATGCATCCAACGCAGTGACTATGGCTCATCAAATTCGCACATACACACAGGAAGCAGCTGGTTTCACTGACTCAGTGGATGTCTTGTACGTTGCACAACTGATGGACAAGTTTATGGAATATGTTGTTCAATTGCGAGAGGTAAGTTTGTATATCAGCATTCAAACACTTTTGGATTTAATGATTTGTTCGTCTCAGTTATCAGAGCTGTTGGTTGAGATGGGCAGTAACTTAATGCAGGTGGACGACCAGATTCTGGCTTTAGCCCAAAAAGAGAAAAAGGCCTGCAGCTCCATTGTTTACTCTTTGGAGACACTTGCTTGGCCTCAGCTCCATAGTCACGCTCAAGACCTTTCTATGGTGAAATTTCTAACAAATTATAAACCTTAAAGAATTAAAATCAGAATTACATATTTGTTTTTCAACATTAGGGATCAAGAAACATAGTGATGGAGGCTCACTTGATTCGCCCCGCCCATTTTACTGGCATCACTTGTATTGTGTATCAACGGCGTGAGGTTTCCGTGGAAAATATAGGAGTCGACACAACAGAAGGCTCCCAAGAAAATCCGTTACGTTTCAGATGCATAACTGGAGCTCATAACACATCTTTGAACAATTTTCCATTAAAGGTAAGAGTATATGATTCTCAAAAGCATTTAATTAAACAAAGTATCATATGTCATGTTTCCTGATTTTCCCAGAACTCCATGGCTCTGGCCTCAGTAACTATCCCTCCAACTCTGTTTCCTCCTGATGCACCGGACGACTGCAAACTTCAGTTCATTGCATTCAGAACTGGCAGCTTTTTCCCTGTCTCTGGGAACTCCAGTAGCACTGGAGAGCATGCACGCAGACGCATTGTCAACACTCCAGTCATTTTTGTTGGACTTGGTGAGTCATTTTTATTATAATATTGCACAGAGCAGTCTTGACTACTGACATTGTCAACAGAAACACATCTATGAAATACAATCCATGACTGCCTTATTTGCTTCTATGACAGATGGCTGCAAAATGTGGAACCACTCTGAGGCCATCAGAGTCTCTTTGCGCCACTTGTCCCCTGGCACAGACGCAATACCAGCTCACTGGACCTGGACAGAGCTAAGGAGGCAGGCGGGCTGGAGCCAGGAAGGCTGCCATCTGCTTCAGACTGACAGCAGCACTAGCACAATGCAATGCTCACTACTCAGCAATTATGCAGTGCTGCAGGTAAACCTCCAAAAATACACATTTAAAATCTGAATAAAACTAAAATAACCGCTTATACATTGTTGTAAACAAGAAATAAGTCACATGTTTTACCTCAAAACGTTGTACGCAAAGCGTAATGCTTTATGGTAATTGTGGTAATGTTACAAAAATCAATGTATTGTGTGTGTTGCAGGAGGTTCCTGACTTCCCCAATTCAGCCTCTTTATCTGTGACAGTGCTCCACCCGGTGGTGTATGCTTGTACTGCTGTCCTCTTGCTATGCCTTTTTACAATTATAATAACACACATACTTCATCACAGGTAAGATGACAATAAAAGACAAATACAGGCATTGAAGACACACATATATTTCATGTGTGTGTGTGTGTGTGTGTTTTTTATAGTTCGATCCAGATATCAAGAAAAAGCTGGCATACATTATTAAACACATGCTTCCACATTGCTATGACCACAGCAATCTATGCAGGGGGTGTTGGTCTGACAAGCTACCCAGTGGTTTGTCAAGCTGTAAGTATTGAAGTAGACCACAGTTCATTTAGTTTCACAGTGCAGTCCCTACATGTCTTATGCCCTGCTGTGCTGTGGCAGGTTGGCATTGCCTTACATTACTCATCACTGTCGACTCTGCTGTGGATCGGAGTCAGTGCCAGGGTCATTTTCAAAGAAACACTATGGAGACTGCCTCGGCACCATGACGGTGAAACCACAGCTCCTCCCACGCAGCGGCCAATGCTCAGGTAACACATTTCACTCACTTCCTCTACAGTTTTAGTTTACCGTAAATACTGTTGTGCTGATGGCTACCTCTTGTCCACACGTAAAACAGCTTAGTATGCATGCAAGTTATGAAAGAACACGTGTCAGTAAAAACCTTGAGCCTTCAAGGTTTATATTCAAGGGCATTAACAGCTTGAGAAAAAGTAAAGAATGAGTAATGCCTCTGAATTGTAAAGGCTGTTCTATCTCAATGGTAATTAAATGGGCGTCTTCAGAAGTTTGCCTGTATTCCTTCCTTTTGTGTACAATATGCAGCTGGCTTTATGGGGTTAGGCCATTTCTATCATTCAACGGGAAACCCTTAGTATAAGATAATGGTACAGTCACCGATGGTGACTACAATAACATAATGGAAAAGAGTTGGTCCCACATTATTTATCTCACAAAACAATTGTTTCATTGTTTTCATTCCAGGTTTTATTTAATTGCTGGTGGAGTTCCTCTCATAATATGTGGAATCACTGCAGCTGTCAATGTCAACAACTACGGTGACAATAGCCCCTAGTGAGTACTGTTCTTTTATTACCTCAGGTTATGTCTTGGTGTGTGGTTTGGCTTGTGCTGAAATTATATTTTCAAGATGTTGAATACACAGATATGTCCTTGTCCACATTGACACTCCTGACTTCTACTCTGGCTTTTGCAGCTGCTGGCTGGTGTGGCGCCCAAGTCTGGGTTCCTTCTTTGTCCCAGCAAGCCTAGTAGTCTTTGTGACCTGGATCTACTTCCTATGCACAGTGTTTCGCCTGCGGCAACGTGTGACCAAAGAATGCACAGGAACCACCCTGTCCTCCCCAGTGACTGAGAGCCAGCCGGCTTTGGCAGGAAGTACCAGCCTCCTCTCCACGGACTCAGCAGTTGGTCCCATAATTCTGGTTGTGGAAGACCAATACTCTCTGAAGACACAGTTTACTGTTCTGGTGACCACCCATTTCCTGTTTGTGCTTCTGTGGAGCTGTGGGGCAATGGCAGTGTGGCTGACAGGAAACACTGGCCTGTTGTTCAGCTGCCTCTACAGTGTTTCTGCCATAGTTCTAGGGGTGATGCTTACGGTTCACCACTGTTTTCGCCGTCAAGACGTCCAGGCTGCATGGCAGGGATGTTGTCCTGGCTATCAGCGCGCTCACGCGTCCTCTACATACACACACACGTGCACTACGGGGAGTGGAGTGCACACCTCAGAGCAGGGATCTCAAATTTTCATTAATTGCCATCCACCAGTTGACTTGCACCACTCCTCCTCCGCACGATCCTCCTCCACTCCCAGTGGCATCAGCAGTGTGGGCCCTGGCCCCTGTAAACTCACCAACCTGCTACAAGTGACACAGGACACTTCAAACAACACCACACGTCCAGTGGCAAATGTTAGCACAAGTACAGACAATATGAGCAAACATGCAAATAACATTGCCCCATCTGTTACCTCTGCCCCTGTGCACCCACAAAGGAGGAAAATCACCAGCAGAAAACAGGCAAACAGCCAGTATCACCACCGCGGTGAGGGAAGGGCACACTACCGCCACAAAGCCCTGCGAACTGCTGCTACAGGGGGGAGCCTCGGGACGTTAGGGCCCCCAGGCATGGACCTTCTAAACTCTTCACATGTAGTACATAAACAGGCCAGTGAAAATGGCAGCATCCACCACAGTCTGACTGAGAGCCATGGCTGCCCCCTGACCAATGGGAAGCGCCATGATTCTGTGCCTACGAGCTTCTCAGAGGGAAGTGATGGGGGCAGCAGCGGCAGCAGGAAACCTTTTGCCCTGCTCCCCTCCGCAGCCAGCCGAGCAACATACAGTAATCAGAGACGCTGTGCGAGTAGAGACAATGTCAAACTGGCAGCCGTGGGCGAGAGGGACGGGAAGCGCTGCTCCTACCCTTTAAACTGTCTCCCGACCGCTGTACCTGCCACTGCCAATGGAACCCTGAAAAACTGTGTGTTTGAGCTGGAGCAGGACATGAGTGGCACAGAGCACTCTCATTCCTCAGGAATGAAAAGTGGGTTGTGGAAAAGTGAAACTACAGTGTAATATACACCTGTCTGATCTATGCAAGTGACTTGGGTTTACTACTGTGTCCAAGTAGTGTGAATAAAATTAATTTATGACATAGAATCATGCAAAGGAATAAGACCATTAACTGGTACTTTACATAAATATTATGTGTAAACTTGTAATGAAAAAAGAGATGTTTATTATTTTAAATAAAACCCATGTATTTGTTTTTCAATTATTATGATTAAAGTAAAGTGTAATAAGATCAACATTTGATGTTGATAATATACCTTTAATGTTTTGATTGTATGATGGAATGGAGCAATGCACTTCCTTGTGTCCTTGTGTGTGTTGTTTACCACTGTATGCAATAGGTACATAGTCTCCTCTTCATGGGTTTCAGATTTCTGCTTTGCGCATCAATATATATTTTTTTATATAATCATCATTATATATATATTTTTTTTTTTTATTATATCACTCATTATGGAAAATGTCCTCATTTCTCATCATTCTGAAACCCAAGGATAGAGCCACAAGGATTGTCAGTATATTACTAAGAGAGCAAAAGCTGTTAAAGATCTGTAGGTATTAGCAAGTTCACCAAAGACCATAGAATAAGTAAGACTGCAAATATTTCCAAAGGGCTCCTGGTTCATCCATGGCTAAAATAAAAGGTAATTGATATTTGCATCAATGATAATGCATTTGTGCACAGATCTAAAACCTGCTATAATCCATGAAACCTCATTTGTATAATATACAGTTTGTTTGATAGAGTTTTTGTTAAACTGATCTGGGGCATGTGTATTGAAAAGGGGCGGGTTATTATTTCAGCAAACTTGAATTAAAAATCATATTTGGCCGGGACCATCAAACCATTATGCACAATAGACAACATGATTGCAGGAAGAGAGTTGACTGAGAAAGGTGCTATTTAAGAAAAAGAACCAACAGTTTTACTATTAAATTGTCACAAATGTAAGAAAAATCAAGCCTGAAGCCACTAAAAAATCCATTATCTTTGAGTGCTGTAATTTTTGACTTTCTAACCTTCCCAACATGTCTGAAAGTACAAGGTGTTAGGCCCCTTCTTTCCAGACTAAAACCTTAATAGAAAACATTTGGGCTATTACTAAAAGACAAATGTATTGTGGTGTAAATCAAATCAAATCTACGAACGATGTCTGGGAAGCTGCTTGATGTTGCACAAAGTAGGGATTCGTTGGATGAAGTGCTTAGTGACTGAAAAGAAGGGCGGGTGTATTGGTAATATTTTGTGTGTTATTTTATCACTAGAGCGTCTATTTCTTAACTAAAGGGTACATGATGTGTTGAAAAATAAATTTAAATTTAAACCCAATGGGAATTAAAATGCAGACCAAATTGTATAAACATATATTCAAAACCATATATCCTTAATACATTTAAGACATTTTTACAGAAATAGGTTATGTTCTACTTCAGTTGAAGGGCAAGTGCCAATAGAACTGGGAAGAGAAAAAAAAAACGTTTTTGAAAGAAATGTTGAAACAGAAAAGGTTTTCCCCAGATCATTATGGCCGTGATTAGATTCACACACTAAGACATCTTTATGAGCAAAACAATAATTTCATCAAAATTGACAAGTACTGACAAAGAATATCTTGTTGGATTGGCCCAGGTATTACAGATATAATAACTAGACTTTGTTGACACTTAGTTGCCAGGAGCGTATGAGCTCCAGCACAATGCTAAACTAAAGGCTCTTTGGATGTATGTTTACTGGAATGGAAACACCCCAATGACATCACACATCACATACAACTTATTTATGATATGTCAAAATCAAGTTTGTGTCCTGCCATAACGGTTCACCCAGTCCCACCCCCAGCATGATGTCCAACCAGAGACGCCCCCAGCCCAGACGCGATCCAATGAGGTCCTGGGATGTAGAGTATGGGAGGAAACTTTGTAACATCAGGAAAGAAGTCGGCACTGAAACTACGCGCTGAAGAACTACACAAGCGTTCATAAAGACCACTAAAAATACTTAGTGCGCACAGCTGTGGCTCTTAGTGAAGTAAGTTTGTGGTTTAAGTGGTGAGCGGGACTGTCCTCCACGGTGCGAGGCGGAGGGCGTATTGCGACACCGACCTGCGCTTCCTGATACAAGGTAACCCAAACCTGCCGTAACAGGGAAGGGTGAGGGCCTGGGGAGGTTTACCGTAGCCTCGCCGTTTCACCTCAGAGAACTTTAACTTTGATGTTAAATCTCCTTTGCAGACTTTAAACATGTCGCTGGGTGACCAGAGTCAGCAGTGGTACCCCACCAGTGTACGCGTAACGGTGCACCAGGCGAAAGATCTGCGCGCAAAGGGGAAAAATGGCACAAATGACGCCTATGCCATTATTCAAGTCGCCAAAGACAAGTTTTCCACCACCGTGGCAGAGAAGAGTGTGTCTCCAGTTTGGAAAGAAGAAGCGACGTTTGACCTGCCACTTTTCCACCCGGGGAATGCTGACCGCTGCACACTGTACATCATAGTGATGCACAAGGCCCATGTGGGACTGGACAAGTTCCTTGGACAAGCTGTGGTCAATTTATTGGAGTTACATGACGACAAGGGCCGCAAAAGGACAGAGTAAGTACACTTGACATGAATTGTTAATTTTTTTATTAAATACAATAGCAAATTATTTGCTTCAAAAAATGACTGGCCCAAGCCTTAGGGTAAGTGTATTTTAATCTCTGTATATTTAAAAAGCAGATCATGTGCCTATTGATTTTATTTATTTTGCCTAGTAGTATTGTGGGTTCTATGATGGCAACAGAACACATACTAAGCTGTGCCTGAACGCTGGCTGAGGGTTTAAATAAACTATGTATCATGTGAAGATAGTGTTTTTTGTTATATATTGAAGACAAGATGTCATATAGTATTTCTATCACTGCATTATTTCATTTACTCTGACTCAAACATAAATGCTTAATAGTTATATCATCAGGAAATTACCCAGTCACCACAATGAACCTGCTCACACCCAAACAATTCACTCGACTTCAGTGTGTGGAGTGACGTGTGGAGTGGGTGTAGCAGGTGCAACCAGGACCAAAACAAAGCTCGTGGAGTGTTCACATTGGCTACACCCTTTTACATAAGCAGATTAGCAAAAACAATAATAATTGATCTAAATAGTTTGAAGGAAGACAATGTTGCCATTATCAAAGAACATCCCTTTACTGAGCACACATTGTCCATGACCTCACTCTGCCAAATGTCAAGTGTTATCTTCTGTTTGTGTTGTGTGTGTTTATGGTCGTCAGGCAAAGGGCACTTCTGAAAGGCAGCTGTACTTGGCTCCTTCTGTCTCCCCCTTTGCCCTCATTTTAGATGCAAGTATCCGATGTTGCTGGCTTGGCCAAGGCATGTGATGGATTGGGTTACAATTGAGCTTCTCAGTCGTGCCTTTCGAGGGAGTGACATTGAGTACTTTGTTTTTCCATTGAAAGGGAGCACTGCCTTTATAGTTCGGGAATTCAATAATGTTGGTGATATTTATATGGCTCTCTATAAGCTTAGCCGACACTAATTGTTTCCATTACACCAGGTCACACAACAATGAAGCGTAATGCATATTGCAGTATGTGGGAATATGAGATTATGGGAAGTACATTAGACCGTGTTCTTACAGTGAATAAAACATTTTTTTTCTCATAACATTTTCTCTCCTGTTTGCAGTGCTTATCAGCTCATTTTTACACAATGAGTAATCAAGGACGCTCAAAACAAGATAATTCCTCACAAGAGCTTATCCCCTTGCATAATACATACATTTGAAAGGCCTTAACAACACTTCAACTTCTACACCTGCACAGTGGGAAGGAGGTGATATTCAAGTAATATAGGGTTTGGTACTAACACCATTCATTTAGAAGATAGGATCAGTGCGGTTTTTCACATTGAACTGTTTATTTTCGTCAGTCAACTGTATTATTTACGATGTATATAGATGATCAAATCTACAGAGTGACACACTGTTACTCACTTGGAAAGGTTTCCAACATCTAGTTAATCATTAGTGATCGAATGAGAAGTGAACTCAAAGTTAAAGGACAGGGCTTGTCAAACTGGAAGAGTAAGGGAACTATCATTAAAACCTAACCTCTCACTGTATTAAGACCATTGTGTTTTGATGGGCTTTAGTGCACTAAGCATTTCTGATGTGATACAAGGCGTATGCAAGTTTAAGCAAAATAATATTGTTCTATTGGGCTGGTCTAACTTGGAAATTTGGAGGCAGTGTTTGTCTTGATAACATTGCCAATAATACCATAATCAATCAAACACAAAGTGAATGAACAAACTTTGCGTATGTTCCAGGCACATATTCCATGTTTCATTTTTATGATAATTGCTATAAAATCGTCACTGTTGAGGAACCCAAACAGTGAAAGGTGATAACCTTCCCACAATGCCAACATCACACATAATTACTGGTATGTTTTTAAAGAAGGGAGTTTCTTACAGTCTCACCATCATCATGTTTGGATTAATGACTTACGTCTGGTTTTATATTTAGAAAGGTTTGAGAAAACACTCCTTACACAGTGTTGATCTTGTAACAGAGTGGTCAGAGGCGGGCCCTGAACAAAGCAGACATTGTCGCGTGTAGTGTGAGCTAGAACACACTGTGTACACAATCCATGTTTTGGCTTTCAGTGAATTCAGTCTAATAATGATTCTTAACCCTTGCCCTTAACTAACTTATGTATCCTGAACTCAATTTGAGAACTTTAATTTCAGACTGCAAAATATTTAACTACATTTTCTGTTCCTTCCCTTCTATTCTCAGATGTCATATAGATCAGGCAGAAAAGTGACTATGAATATTTTCTGTAGAAATAAAGGTGGTATCAGCACATACATTTTGTGTAATACTGCAGTTAAATACAAGTATAATTATCTATGACTTTTATTTTTTAAATATTGCCTAACCCTATTACCATAACTTATAATACCAAGCAAACGATACATTATAACAAGTCCATACATGACATATATATAAAACAGTTTATGCTATAAAAAAAATGTAAAGGTTGCAAGGACATTGATAGTTCAATTTTAGTCTTTCTTTCCTTTTCATTCTAGTGCCCTGTCCTTGCTTTATTGCATTATATTTAAATCTCTTTTTTGTGGCTTTTTAAAAGGCATCATTCGGACTACTCATTCGATCTACTCCTCTGAGACAATCTACATTTATAACTTTTTGATAATCATCAGTTCCTCTTAGATTGTGATGAGCTCTGCTTAGCTGTTTATGAACCTTGTAAATAACAGAGGCTCTCTTTAGATCCACTAAATCATGAAACTAAATGAAAATGTTTATGTTTTTAATACTTGTTTTGTTGTGCATAATAATCTGCACTATTTATTACTGCTTAATGTTTTGTGCTGTTTTATAACTATTCCCTCATATAATTTGAGGTAATTCTGATATTTAGTTTCAATCTAATTTATAGTTCATTCATTCATTCATTTTCAACCCCTTTATTAGTCCATTTCTGGGTTGGGGGGTGGCAATGAGAGCTGTGACCCAATGCTCAATGCACTGGTCCCTCGCTGATCATCTGTAGGTGGTGAGTCCACAGGAAGATGGCTGCTACGTCGACAGCAGATATTAGTGGGAGTAGTTGGAGTAGGTCCCGGCTTGATGGGCTCAAACCCACCATGGAAGCCTTCCGGCTCAAAGGCCAATGCTCTACCAACTGAGCTACTGTCATCCCCTAATTTATAGTTTGTTGTAATCAAATCATGACAGATTACAATATACACCTGCAATGTTTTTTTGACAATTCTAACTCCGGTTACCTGATCAAAAAGAGTCCTGGAGTTGTTATTAAATCTACCCACGCTAATAGCAGCCACTTCTGACACAATTATGTAACACCAGCCCTTCTGTCTAAAAGCTCCTATCTCAGTCCTGTAATGGTATAGATTGATTGTATCACTATGATGTCACACAATGAGCATTTTTCTTAATGTGTGTTTTAAATTTAAAATATTTATATATTTATAAGTATTTGCAATAAATTAGTTTGGACAATTTCTCAGGTGAAATTATGTTCTTTACCATCCATATCTGTGATTGCAGTCTGCAAATTTCAAAGTTGGAACAAAAATAAATGTAACTCCGTGGTAGCATAAGGAGTCAGGCTAATAGCATTTTTGTATCGCCCATTCTTTTTTCACCACATCTTTTATACTTAAGCTATGTTGACATGATAAACTATGAAGTTACAAAGTAAAGGGCATCGTTATGTTTAATGACAAAAAATCATGCATAACATTTCTTCTCTAAGTCATTCATGTGCTGTCTTCTGTCTTCTGCAGTTGGTTCAAGCTGGTGGACAAAGCCAGTAAAGAGGACAAGGCTCGAGGGCAGGTTTTGATCGACATCCAGTTCATGAGAAACAACATCTCGGCCAGCATGTTAGACCTGTCAATGCAGGACAAGCCTCGCTCTCGCATCTCCAAAATCAAGGACAAAGTGCGCGGCAAGAAAAAAGACGGCTTTTCTGATTCAGCGTCTGCCATTGTGCCTTCTGTCAGCCAGGTCCTCACCGACAGCGAGGGAGAGGGGGATTCCGCCTCGCTCAGCCAATCGCCAGGAGTCAAAAAGAAATCTAAATTTAAAACGTTATTTGCTCCAAAATCAAATCTACAGCGTAATGTTTCTCAGTCTATGTCCACTCTGGGTACACTGCCGGAGAAGAACTCGTCCCTCAGTAGCAGTCGGTCGTCCGGGCTCAATGTTGACTCTCCTGACGGTGAGTTAAAGTTTAGTCAGGCCATGCAAAGGATTTACCTGGAATGTTCCACAGTAAACCATTGTCTCTGAGGGCTGGAGTCTGTTTCATGTAGATTTTGTTAACCATACATGCAGCTTTTGCGAAAAAACGCAAATATACAAATATGCATTCAAACATGAAGTCTTGACAAATAGACTTAGAGCTGGAGTAATTTTTTATTCATAGATACATTTTGATTGTCCCAAAAGAAAGGGTCTTGTAAAATGAACAAAACAGAACAAATCAGAACACAACATGCTGTCTTTATCTTACTGGAAAATGTATATTGAAATTTGCATACTTCCGTAGTCCATTTTCCATAATGGTCCATTATTGATACTTTGGTCTGAGAAATGATCGGTGACTGAAAAAAAAGTTGTGAAAAAGGCCAAACATACATGCATGGGGATTCTAGTGATAGAACCAAATTGTTTTTCAGAGCCAGGAACTAGTTACATGGCTCCATTTTGTGGTATGAAAGTTGGATACTCCAGCTTTAATTTGCTTCAATATGCCACTCCAGAGATGGATTTTTTATTATTCAGACATTGATATAACAGGATGTATTTCCATTTTTTTGGTGAATGGCATTTCCTCGCCTTAGAAATAACCTTTAACTTGGACTTGCACTGTCACCCTCCACACTCCATGCATGGAGAGTTCTACAGTGTAATATTCAAGGCAAAGCCAATTATACTGACTGAAAATCACCAGAGTCTGGCATATTACACCCAAAACCAGGATTTGGTTAAAAATCCACAATGAGTATAGATGTTTTGTTTATTATTATCAAATATGTATAGAGGGAAACCATTGAAATTATACTTAAATAAGAACTGAATTGCGACAATCCTCTTGTACTCATGGTTAAGAAGCACTTTCCTGTAATGCTTTCTATTGTTTAACATGCAAACACTGACATCACGCTTCTCTAACTTTCACAGTTAAGAAGAAATTCAAATTCCTGGGCCACAAGCGAACAGGCAGCTCTGACAGCAAAGTTTCCCAAGGCCCTTTCTCATTACTGAGCCGCTCTAAGCAAAGTGATCTGAATAACTTGTGCATTAATGGCAGCCATGTTTATGCTGAAGAGGCCGAGGCAAAGACAGGTTCTACCATGAGTCTCAACAGCTCCGGACATGGGTCTGTGGAAGACATCAGAAAGCAGCACTTTGATATCCCTGTGGATGTCCCAGTGGATGTACCAACACATTCAAGCAGCCAGTTCACAGATAGGGCCTTATTAGACAAACAGCGCCATCAAGAGGAGCAGAGGAGAATAGTGGAGGCCAAAAGACAAGAGGAGGAAGATAGGAGAAGAATAGATGCTTTAAGACTGCAACAAGAAGAGGAAAGACGGTACCAGGAGGAGCAGGAGAGAAAGAGGCAGCAACTGGAAGATGATGCCAGGAGAAGAAAGCTCAGAGAGGAGGAGGAGATGATGAAAAATAAGGAGGAAGAGCAGAGGAGGGCGGAGGAGGTGCAGAAGCAGGAGCTGTTGAAAGCAGAGGAACAAAAGAAACAGGAGGAGGCGTCGATGAGCGAGCGGCTGACGTCTCTTTTTGGGATGATCCGTAAAAAGGAGGAGAAGAAGGAGGTGTTGGTGGTTCCTGAGTTAAATGAGAAGCTGCCCGAATCCATGATGAAGACTGAAGACCAGCTAGTCTCACAGCAGTCCATCAATCCTTTTGTGGAGGTCTCACTTAGCACCAACGACAGCTCTATTCCGGAGTCCAAAGCCAAAAGCAGCACTCCCATCCCCTCCGCCATGGTGTTCCTCAACCGCACAGCAAAAGTCAAACCCAGGTAGGCCCACGTCCGGAAAACACACACGCACGCACGCACACACATACACACACTTCCAAGTAGCTCCCTAAATGTTTTAGAAATTACAAATGCTCTAAATAGTTGCTTGTCCCCATGTAAATGCACAGTAAACCATTCAATTAGGTTAAATATCTTAAAAGTTATACATTTCTGCTTTGTGGTAGTGGCATCTCTAAACCTTTCACTTGGGCTTGTCTCCCTTGTGGCTGTCCCCTTCTTCTCTCCATGAAGGTGGGAAATGGGTAGTGAAACCATGGAATATTTACAGTAAAGCCAATTATGATGAGAGAAAGCTACCCACATAATTCATCCAAAACTACAATTTGGTTATGAAGTTTCAATCCATATTGTTGAGATGTTTCGTTACTTATTATTTATTTGTGTGGATAAGTAACTGAAATTATAAACTGCTAAATATCTCAAATGTTGTTGTTCACATTTCTTCCGCTGATGCATTTAAGATGTTTTTACAGGCATCTAACTGTACTGGGGGATACACTTTTATAGTAATTACATTAGAAAGTAAACTATTGTTAATGCAAACCTACTTGAAGCGCAAAATAAGGCACATTACAGATCAGACTCGATTGGATTTCCCAATTGTTGCATTCAAAACAAATATCTTTAGTTGTTTTAAATATTGCATGTATATTTGTATTTTTTATGTATATTCTTGTTGACATGCACTGATAATGTTGAAATCCCCCATGTATTAATTTCCTTATCTTGAATTACCAAAACTCTGCATTCTTGTGCGTGGCTGATGGACCTGCCTGACCAGTTTGTGCTTATAAGGAGATGTGGGTGTGTGTTATGTTGGGATCATGTAGTAGAACCGGTTCCACATGCGGAAGGACATGAGCTCAGTGTTAGCTTTCGGCCCTGCAGGTGTTTTTGTCATTCTTTTTATGCTGTTTGTGTTGATGTTTGGATCTCAAATGGTAAGACGTTTTTTCCATTAAGTATTGTGCGTAGCAGTAGACTGTGTTCATTCAATTCTCTCGTAATATTGTTGTCTAGACGGTTGTTGTTCCTTGACCTTATGCCACATGCCATTTGCTAATTCACTCTTGGACAAAAGCAGAGTTGTTCCATTGTTCTGTTGGAGGCGTTAACTTTATTCACAACTTCAAGCTACACCGATGTGAAAACAATTTGATCAGAAGTTTCGATTACTTATGGTGGTGGGTTGTACAGTATTTCTAATTGGTCAAACTGACCTGTAGGCTTTTGTTTTCACTCGTTGGCAGATTGGATGACACTTTGAAGTCTGATTCTACTGACTCTCAAACCTCAAGCTCGCAGAATCCTTCCATAGCTGTTCCAGAGTCTCCCCCTAGCACTGTTGCCCCTTCTGAAACGTCTGATAGCTTTCAAGATCTACACTTCTTACTCGCTCCTCAAAGCAAAGACTTGAGTGAGACATTTGGTGACGACTTTGAAGAGATTTCCTCATCAGTTGAGGATTCAGAAAACATGGGGGATAAGAAGAGGAGGGCTCCCGTACCACCATCTTACCCAGTCAACAGCACACTGGGCGGCGGCAGAGAGATTTTAAACCCAGCTTATGTGGAGCCGGAGGAACAGCAGCCAAGCCAAAGGATGTCCTTTCCTCTCCCAGACTATGAGACGCTATTCCCCCAAAAGAGACATGGTGTACAGGGCCAGACCCGATGGGATCATATTATTGCTGAAGTCAATCAAAAGCATAGAGACAATCACATTGAATTGACAGGAAAAGAGATGAGCGTAGACAGCCCAGAAGAGCGTCTAGAAACTCCTCGAAATAGCTTAACACAAGTGAGACAATATCAAATGCATTCTCAAGCATCAAAACCAGCGTCTTCCAAAAGTGTTGCAGCCCCAGATCCCCCAAAGAAAGTCACACCACCGCAGTATAAGACATCAATCGAAAACCATCAAAGACCAAACCAGGACTCGAGTCAGAAACGATTGTCTATTGATTCAACCCAAAAACAGGTGACCACTGAATCCGGGTCAGCTCGTAAAGTGTTGCACCCATCATCTGCACAGGCACCCAGACCAATGAGTCAATTAGAAACCGATAGATCTCCACAGGGAAGCTTAAGAAAGACTCAAACAGTCAATGAAGAAGCGCCGACAGCCAAACCAAGACAAAAGCCGATTGGCAGGGAATCCATGTCGGTATCAGAGATCCATGCTGAATCTGATCTTAAAAAAAGCAAATCTCCTGCGATTGAATTAGACCCGTTCCCGAACAACAATCTCCTCTCCAAAGACCCCTGGGCACAGACGCAACAGTTTCACAATGTAGATCTATTCACTGACAACGGGGTGAAAAAACCTGAAGAACATGGAATGACGCCGGACGATCTTGATAGCATTTTTAGATCAGATAGTGATCCTTTTACAGCCTCAACGGAACATTTCTTTCAGCCTAAACAGCACAAGAGCCAAACACCAGAGCATCAGACTGAGCATACCATTTTTCATGACAGAGAAGACCCGTACCCAGTCACTTCTACAGCGCCCTTTGACCCCCTCCCCGTGGTGGTGGAGGAACCAGCGCCTAGTGGTTTGATTGGAAGCAAGGCCCCGATTCGTGCATGGGTGTCACCTTCTGAGGTTCAGCCGGTCAGTGTCCAGACTAGCAGTGGAGGTGGGCTAGCTTTGTCCCAACGCAGGTGAGAGCATTTGCAAAGATAGCATTATTTTTCAATTGGCAAATGAGGTGTTGGGGTTGTTTGGGCTTTCCTGGTGGTTGATATCATGTTTTTAAAAGCTGAAAACATTTCATTTTCTCTCGCTTGTTTGAACTGTGATGAAACTGACCTATTTTTTTTTTTTTTTTTGCTTTTGTGCTTGCACCCTGCTTTATGTGGTGTTCCAGGACAAAGTATCTAATGAGGTTTTTCTTTTTATTTACAGACCACATCCTGTTAAGCCGCTGAACCCAGTGGATACACACCAACCATCAAGCACCCCTGCTATTACGGAGATTACAGTTCAAGATATTGCACCTTCCAAATTCAAGGTAAAATGAAAACGTAGCATGATATATTTTGATAAGGCTACAGCTCCATGTATGCATGAGCATCACCAAGGCTCTGTGTATGGGCCTGAATGCTGTAGCAGTGGAGATTATGATCAAAATACTGTTATAATTATTCTGACTCAGGTATAAAATATACCCATTTTGACAAAAAATATTATTACCTAAACTTTAAATGTCTAATTTTTACAAAATTGTTGTGAAAATCTGTACATTTAATCCCCATCTTCAGTGGGGATATGTGGTACAAAAGAGAGTACCATTAACATGTAGAACGTTATACTATGTTGATAAGAAAAAAACGCTTAAATAAAAAACACTCAATCACACTATATAAGTAGGGAAGGTAATGTAAAAAGGACTAATGAATTGAAAGACCCATTATTTTCCACCCGCAAGAAAATGACACTTTTGAGCATTTTCTTTCTATGCTTATTATATCTTGTATCTTCAGGTGTCTGGATCTTCTGAAACTGGGCCGTTCACTCAGCTAACACAGGGAGAGCTGATCACACTGGTGGTGAAACAGCAGGCAGACTTGTCAAAGAAGGATGCTAAGATTGCGGAGCTGGAGGAATACATAGACAACCTGCTGGTGCGTGTGATAGAGGAGAAGCCCAGCATCCTGCACTCCTTAGAGGCTAAACCTCAATAAGTTCTAATACTTCAGTATGCATGATGAAAGGGGGTAAGAACACAGCATATGCACTTTTGTAACAAATAATGAATCCGGCACATATTGTGGCTGTGTATTTTGTATCACTACTATCTTAATTTAATAATAATTTTATTTAATTCCAAAGATAAGAGCAAACTTTTACTTCTGTACACTGGTCTTCCTTTTCTACTGCTAATCTAACAAACTTGAACTATTTCACTGTATTTTTGGCAATCACCAACTTAACATAAATTACATTTGTTTTTATATTCTCTTTAAGAATGTGCTATTATGTATTTGCTTATTTATAAACTGTTGGTTAAAAAATAAATAAATAAATAGATATTTCTTGTATAAACAGTACATACTTAAAATAATTGAAGGGTGTTACCTTATTTTACTACTTCCTAGAATGTTTGTATCTTGCACTCCTATCACAGCCTTATTTTAAAATGTTGTGAATAGGAAAATCAGCACCGCCAATAATAGTCATTTCTATTGTATATTTGGACTATAAGTTGAAAGCAATATTGATAATACTACTATGTATAGAGTATTGTCATGATGTGTTTTTGTTTGCCGACCTTTCTGTGACATTTACTTGTAATCCAGTTGTAAACAAGGAAGAGGCTCAGAGGAAGAGGCAGTATACTGTAAAGCCTATGAACAAAGCAAATATATTTTTAATAATATGTAATAAACAACACTAAATATGATAAGTGTGTTTCAGTGCTGTCCTTTCTGTTTGACAAGAGACATACATTGTTCCTATTTTATTTTTAGGCCCCTCTAAGCGCAACACTAGTCAAAGAGCTATGGCCGCTACCTATTGTATCACTACTAGACATTATGAACCCCATGTATTATATATATCATTGTAATTATTTTATTGTATATTATTATCTTTATGATTCCATCTAGATGACTGCAGTTATGCTACATTTATAGATACATGTAATTTCACAATAGCAGCTTCTCCAAATTCATTTTTTAACAGAAAACCACAGTGAAGTATGTGACGAATTGCATTTTTATGTAAGCATAATTCTACTTAGTTGAAAGTGATGAAAAATAATTTCACTTCACAAAAGACATGCACAAGTTAAAAGCACTAGACAACGCTACCAGTGGCGCAGTTATTGGTGGAGATTCCGATTCGGCGGCGGCGGCATGTGAAAATTTTTCTCAGCTCAGCGCGGAAGCGGTCATGTAGCCATGCGTACAGAAAAGGGTTACAGCAGGAGGAGCTCATAGCACACAGGTGACAGAGCAGCTGAATGAGCAGAAAGTACCTTTTGTCTATCAAACCAATGTCTATGTCTCTCAACACATTGAACACACTAATTGGCATCCAACAGATGGCAAACGCAGCCACCACCAGACTAACCAGCCGAAAGGTCTTTCTTCTGCGCATTCGCTGGGCCTCTGCCTGGCCCTCAGTGAGATGTCCTGGTGCCACACAGTTCCTCAGTTTGACCGAGATGCATAGGTAAGAAATACAGAGCGCAGACAGAGGCAGCACATAGGTCACAAACAGGGTGCTGTATGCATAGGCCAAACGCTGGTGCTCTTGACCCATCCAGAACTCCTCACAGATGGTGAAACCCTCATTCTTAAACTCCACATGGTATGTGTGAGCTACAGCCGGTGCCACCAGGCTGCAGGAAAGCAGCCAGATCCCAGTCAGAAGGTATGTGCAGGACAAAACGGAGAGCCGCTTCTTCAGAGGGTGTACAGTGGCATAGTATCTGCAAAGTAAAGGGAGTCACATTTAATCAACAAAAAAATCCAATAAAAGAAACACATAAGCAAACCAAGGACACATTTAATGAGTCATATAACTTTCATACTTGTACTACTTTCATAATATGTTAACGTAAAAAAAATAAGTGTTCATAATGTTCTAAGAATCTCAGATAAGACCTGTGATATGCACAAATCTTCTGGAAACATACAGGCTATACTTTCAGAGCTGTCATGTAATTTTCCAAACAGCTATTTCTGCACAGATCATGTTGTAACTATCAGAGTGTTGATTATGGCTCTGCCGCTCACTCACTCACTTACCGGTCCACGCCAATTGCAGTGAGAGTGAAGACCGACACATAGACAGTCACAGGCTGGATGAGGTAGATCAAGTAGCACATGAATCGTCCAAACACCCAGCCGTGGGGATTGAAGGCGTAAGCCAAGGTGAAAGGTACACACGTTGCACACATGAGCATGTCGGAAAAGGCCAGGTTTCCAATGAAGAAGTTTGTGACATTGTGCATCTTGCGAGTTCGGCAGATAACATAGAGAAGGAAGTAATTTCCTAAGACGCCCACGAGAGCCACCACCGTGTAGCAGGGGATGATGAGTGGCTTGAACAACTGCAGCAGCTCCACGCCTTCGAACTGGGGACTGTTTTTCGATGAGCCATTCTGCAGGGACACCTCAAACACCCGCCCAGTGCCATTCTCGTTCACTTCTGTGGGCCACAAACTCTCCATCTCTTTCTAGTCACATTTACCTGGAACAATGCAAGAAGAATGAATGTTGGAGGTAATGCCATTAGAATGTATCCAGTAAAATGTCAGCAGGAATAAAATGGAAGTGACAGAGGAGTGAGGCTCTTGTCTCTTCATTGAAACTGGTATATCAGATTTTTTATCAGATTGGGGATTTTTTCTTATGTAGATTGAATGTGTCGTTCTAGACGGTAGAAGGTTGGTGATTACAGAGGCGAAACATCTCTCTGGCACATCAAAGCAACTGACCATCACCATCCATTCACTCTCATCACATTGAGACTTATTGTAGGTTTTTTCAGTGGTAAGGGAAACCGGAGATCCCAGAGAACCTACGCGGACGGGGGAGAACATGCAAACTCCACACAGAAAGATCTGGGGGTGGAATTGAACCTATAGGACCTTCTTTCTATGAAATAAAAGTGCTAACCACTGTCGGAGGTTCTCGTAGAGAGATATGGAACTTAAATCTGACTAGTTTGCAGAACGTAATGAAAAAAAACAAACCTAACATCAGGACTCAAACCAGAATTAAACCAGGGATCTAGAGAAGTGTGAAAGGAAATATTAACCTGCATAATGTGTACATTATGTTGTAAATACTCTACAATGCAACAATATAATACAAATACCCGAATAGCTTTGAACTTTCAGTATGAGATTTGGTTAGACGAGAGTGGTAAATTCATGTATGGGTGTCTATTTCACGTTAAGCCATCGCCAAATGTTAAAACAGTGTTTTTGAATTTACAATAACATTGCATCGAAGGCTGTTTTCTCCGCTCTTCAGGGTTACAAATGGCGATGATTGAACAAATAGTCTTGTCCTTTCTTTTTGTTCACCAAAAAATTCTAATAAACTAAATTAATGGGGGTGAAAATGGTATTCATATTACGTGAATATACTATATACAATTAAGGCATCTGTGACCCTGCAAGGAAGAATAACATATAGCCAAAGAGATTTTCATTAGACAACAATCAGACAAAAATGCGTACCTTTACTTATAACAGCGCGACACAATTGGAGCAGGAAAAAGGCATCCACACTCGCGCAGATTTGTTGAAGCGCTCCACACCGCGCGTCCCGAAGCTTCTCTCGGGGAGTCGTAGAACCATAGACTGTAAATATTAAAGTAGAACTCCCATCTGCACCTCAGCCGACACACGTGCACGTCCGCGCGCACGAGCTCCTGTTGCGCGGATAGAGCCCGAGCGCTCCTGACGCGACTGCCCCAACGAGAACGACAGCAGGACGTAAAAGCCCATGCAGTCCCTTCTCATTTCATTTAAAATAGAACACAATTATGTTTAGTCTATTTTTTACATTTAGAGTGGACAAAATCATTTCAGCCTATATGTTTTCCCCTTATTCACTCAATCAACCCCAAACCTGTTTTAATAACTTATATTTATTGGGACTGAATGAAAGCCTCTAAGCCACTAAAATAAAAAAAATAAAAATATTCCACGTTGTCGCTTCCTCATTATTAGACCTCAGCACTATTTTCATTACAGCTTGAATGAGGAGACACAACTATATTTCCTTGCTTTCATCCTTTATAACAAATTAGCTGGCTAATGTCAAGGCAAATGAATTTAAATGTATAACCTTAACGATCTTATGTAATATGTACAATTAAATAATAAAGAGCGTATAAGTCAATGAGTTGTTGTGGCAAGGCTATTCTGATTTCATCCAATCTGCAAATTGGATGAAATTCAAATCTAAGTGGTGCTTCATTTATTGATAAAAATAATACAAGTTTTTCATTACAACATGTTACAGTACATTTTTCCAGGGATAATTTGAAAGTGGTTCATGTCACTTACTAAGCTACAGAGTGAGAGCAGTTTGAGTAGTTCACTGGTGTCATCTTTAAATATTTGGAAAAAGGAGCATGGTGCATACTGATAAGAAATATGACGCAGTGTCTGCATGAGAAAAGAACTGGTAGTGGCTGAAGAGCACATTTAAATTAATTTCACCTATAGCGGCCACACATTGATTGACTTGTGTCATGTGAAATACACGATATCAATAATAAGCACATTATTTTGTCCTTGTTGGAGTGGGTGTTTGTCAATAGTGCATAGTCCAATGTCTTGTCTGTCAATGAAACAAAGGATCACTATGGATCACTTTGAAAAATCAGTTATGTCACTACGGTCAAGGTCCCTTAAACTGGTTACTGCAGAGCATGTACAGAATATTAGATCTCCAGTAGCTTTCTCCTCACATCTAAAAAACCTGGATTTTCTCCAAAAGTTAGGTCTGCACATTCCCTGCATGTACACAACATATGGGTGAGGCTGTCATGGTCTGGGCTGGGCTGCCGGCACTGCAAGATTATGCAGGGAATTACAGTATGTGTACAACATAATACTGTCACATACTGCAGCGGCACATGGCCCTTTCCCTTTTTTCCGATATGATAATAACACCTCAAGCACGACCGTTGTTAAAGAGGGCTGTATAGGAGCTGGACCGGCTAAGTATGTCTCCAGACCTACCCCCATCTCTCAACCACAGCATCCTCAAGGAAAAGGTAAAGGTCTTTTACATGCTCCTGCTCAGGAGTGATAAAAGATTTAAGTGGAATGATTTATTTGTCTTATTTTTATTCATCTTAAACAACAATGTTAATGGTTTAAAGTTTGAAGCACAATGCAATTTGTCCTACCCTTCATTTAACCCATCCTCAAGTGCTGTGTTGATACTGGCTTTGTGAGGACTACTGCAGCAAGAAGATTTCATCATTGCTGCTGCATGTTATTTGGGAATTTTAAACCCTCTTGTTCCAGAGAGTAGCTGCATAATGTTTAACACGTCTTATCCATGTTACACTTTTAAAGTTTAGACGTGTACATCCATGGAATACAAACATAACTATGTATTGTACAGATAAGACATATTGCTTGTGTATAATGAGGCATATTGTGAAAGCTATTTGTGGAAGCTATAGACAACCACAATTTTCGAAAATGTGGTTGTCAAACTATCTTGTGAATCCTGCAACATCCACGTATTAAAATGACTAATAAAAAAATATAATGTCATCATAATAAATGGGTATATGATAATCAATGTTTTAATGTAACGTAAAAAAAATCTCAGTCGTTTTTGTGTCACTACATTATTCGCATAAAAGCCAAAACCTAATGATTGACCATGTGCTTACAGTCTCATAACAGTCTTCAGGGATGCTTCTTGTTCAAGTATCGTGGATAGATAACTATGGCCTACGCAGGTGGACAAACGCAAAACAAAATATCTGGCCCTCACAGTCACAAGGTCCCATTGTGTATCCATGTTATGACTATGATATGTTCTGATTGTCTCTTGATGCGTCACGTATGCCTTTCGATGTGTGACGTATCTGTGATGTCACAATTACTGTATAAACCAGTCCTGACTTTGTTCTGTCTGAAAAAACTGAAACAACCTGAAGCCTGAAAAACTGAAACAACTGAAACCTGAAGGAGACTGAATAAACTTCCAGAAGCTCTGGTGTGCCACAATCCCGTCTCTGTGTGCTTCAGTTTCCACAAAAGCCATAGCCAATCATCGATCTTCGTTGATAAGCTCTGCAGCCTCCACCCGAGGACCTGCTGCTCCAGCAATCAGCTGGTGAAGGCATGCTCCGCTCCTTCTCACCACAAATTAGTCAACTTAGTTTGGTGTTCACAAATGGTCTAAGCTGAGTCACTTGTTTAAAGAGACAGTTCAAATGATCAAAGAATCAGCAGGGAACTAACCTGTCTCACTCAGGTCATGGTCATATGCATGTTCAGTTTTTAGGGATATTTTTTACATTTGCATATTTTTATATTCCCAAATGTCATTGTTTCACAGTTGATCATTTGTGAGGATTAACTACATGTTTTTTATTCATACTTACTTTTACACATTCTGTGTCGAAGGACGGCCCTCTTTGGCATTTCACTTGATTGACATGTGGATTAGCCAATCGCAAGTGTTTATAAATTGGTCTCATTCACACTGTACAGAGCGTACAGAAATAAGGAAAGAAACTCAGAGAGTGTGTTTCCCTCTTGTAGGAGTTTAATACAATGAGGAAAACAGCGCAAAGTTCCTCTATGGCCAGTGCAAAACCAATCACTCAATTCATGTTCAGATTTGTTAGTGGTACTTGATTAAAGAATTATAAATCATCTTTATGAAACACAAAAATATTATTATTATAGCATGAAATTTAGAACCTTTAATACTATTTTGTCCTGCAAATTATTATTAATGACTATTTATTCTTGTCTATTTTCACTGCATTTAAGATAAAGACTCAGAGATCCTATATTCGTCGAGATTGTAAAAGTTTTACATTTGGCAATAAGTAAAGTACTGAGTATTCTAGTGCAAGCAAAGTGTAGTTATATGTTTACATTAGCAGCAGTATGTTTACATCTGTTCATTAGCAGCAGTATGTTTACATCTGTACATTGGCAGCAGTATGTTTACATCTGTACATTAGCAACAGTATGTTTACATCTGTACATTAGCAGTAGTATGTTTACATCTGTACATTAGCAACAGTATGTTTACATCTGTACATTAGCAGTAGTATGTTTACATCTGTACATTAGCAGCAGTATGTTTACATCTGTACATTAGCAGCAGTATGTTTACATCTGTACATTGGCAGCATGAGGCTCTGGGACACAGTGACTCAGTAAAGTGACAGTGACATGTGGTTATTGCACAGTCTGGTGTAAGATAAGGATATTGCAACAAGGCATGACACGTGGGATCAAGTTGGAAGTGTTCATTAGTCCTTATTGTTTGTTGTACAGTCTGACAGCAGCAGGAAGGAAAGACCTGCGGAACCTCTCCTTCACACATCGAGGATGAATAAGTCTGTCACTGAAGCTGCTCTCCAGAGCAGAGAGAGTGTCCTGCAGGGGGTGACAGTCATGGTCCAGAATAAATAATAGTTTGTCCAGGACCCTCCTGTCCCCCACCTGCTGCACTGTGTCCAGAGAACAGCCCAGGACAAAGCTGGACTTCCTGATGACCTTGTCCAGCTTCTTCCTGTCCCTCTCTGTGATGCTGCTGCTCCAGCAGATCACAAGATGGCTGATGCCACCACAGAGTCATAGAAGGTCTTCAGGAGTGGCCCCTGTACTCCAAAAGACCTGAGTCTCCTCAGCAGGTAGAGTCGGCTCTGGCCCTGCTTGAAGAGGGCATTTGTGTTATGAGTCCAGTCCATCTTGTGGTTCAGATGAACACCCACTTTCTCAGTGTCCCTTCCCTGGATGTTCACTGGGGCTGGCACCGTAGAGTGACGTCTGCGGAAATCCGCGACCATCTCTTTGGTCTTCCCCGCGTTGATGAGGAAGTGGTTCCGCTGACACCAGTCCACGAAGTCTTGTATAACTCCTCTGTACTCTGCGTCATCGTCCTCGGAGCTGAGTCCGATGATGGCAGAGACTGTCCCCAGGGGGGGGCCCACACTGCAGGTCAGGACCTCAGACACAAAGTTCCTGGTTCTCACAAACTGGGGTCTGTCTGTGAGGTGGACTACCAGGATCCACTCAGACAGGTCATAGTCCACTCCAGCTGTCTCCAGATTGTCCCTGAGAAGCTGCGGCTGTGTTGAAGGCGCTGGAGAAGTCGAAGAACAGAATCCTCACAGCGGAGCCGGGTTTCTCTAGGTGGGACAGCGAACGATGGAGGCGGGAGATGATAGCGTCCTCAATGGTTCTAAGCCGTCCACCCACCAGTTAGAGCCTGAGTCTTTTCACCCAGTGGTCCTGGATCCCCTCCATGAAGTTACAAAGCTCATCATACAGGAAACAGACAAGGCGTTATCTCACCCAGGATCAGAGCACCTGTTTGCGGAGCTGAGAAGAAAGTATTGTACTCAGAAGGAGAGAGGCAGTAAAACAAGCATTCATGCCCAGAGTGCCAAACATGGAGAATGATGCCGGCTGTGCCCAAAATGTCAGATCTGCCAGAGGCCGGGTTATGCCTGTTGAAACCACCCTTCTTCTCCATTGGCATGGACTGTTTTGGCCCCTTCACAATTAAAGTGGGCCGTGGCAGGAAAAGAGATAGGAAATAATATTCCATAACAACACGAGCGGTGCACTTGGATATCCTCTCCAGTTTGGGCCATGACTCTTTTCTGATGGCACTCCGGAAATTTGTTGCAAGAAGAGGCAAGCCAGCTGAACTCCTGTCCGACCAGGGAACAAACTTTAAGGGAGGAGAGAGAGATTTCAAGTCTAATCCACCAAGTGCGCCACATTTTGGAGGTGCATGGGAAAGAGAGGTGAGATTTATTGATTGATGGATTTTATGTGTTTATTTAGAGGATAAGCCCCTTGAGATGAATCATCTCATTTTCAAGGGGGTCCTCAAGATTTCACAAAGTGACAGATACAGCCAAACAGATGTAAACAAAACAAAAATACAAGAAAACCATAAAACAATTTAAAAAAAAAGCAACCATAAAAAATAATTACATTATTATAATTACATTATGTCTGAAAACATAAGATTAATTTCATTTGTACAAACAGGACAGACTCTCTTCTGAAAAATCTGTTTTTGATTTGTTAAGTAATACTTTGTTAGATTGTAGCCATAATTGAATTGAATTGAAGTCATTTTGAAGAGTGTTGGATTTCAGCAATATTAGGTTTGGATGAATAGATTACTGTATCATCAGCATAAAGTTGGATATGACAGTCTGTACATGCAAGAGGAAGATCATTAATTAAAATTGAGAATAGTAGAGGACCATGTGATGAGTCTTGCGGCACACATCTCTCAATAAATAAATAAATATAAGTGCTATTAAAAATACACACTGCTGTTGATGAGATAGGAATTAAACCAGGAATGAGGTTTGTCTTAAAGCAAATTGTTTTGCGTCGGCACTGCTTGCTTTCGTCAAACCCAGATGTCCCGCTTGCAGGCGATGTTAACATAAATACAGAACCACACAGATAGATACCTGTTGTAAATCAGTATGCAATGAAGAAACTTTAATAAACCCAAAAACTGGATAATCTCTACACAGTGCATTCTTACCAATGCTCCCCGGGGGTCACAATACCGATTACAAACCAGATAATCTCGCTCTCCCCATAACACCTACATTTGCGTTTGCCCATAGAACTGTATTTTCAACCTCCTATATTTGACTAAAGTAGTTACTGCAAGAGAAAGGTTGTTGCATATTTGTCAACTACATGGCGGGCTTGAGTTTGTTCCGTTTCCTTCACCAGCCTTGTTGGTCTCCTGCTGAACTCCACCCTCAATGCCTGAGTGTCACAGCGCAGCAAAGAATAGCAAGATGTTTCTGCATCAGAAATTTGGTCATGCTTACTTTTTTCCATCTATGTTGTACGTACATATGTTAAATACGGTTGTTTTCAGACACAGGACTTGCTTCTGCTCACCTCAGACAACACTTGTGCCCAGCTGCATGCTTTCAAGCCCATTTCTGTTAAATCCCTTTGCCTTTATTTTTGGATGTGTTCTTGTAAAAGCAAACACCTTACCACTTCATAACTGTGCTGATGAATTATATTTAATTGAGGTGAGCCAGCTCTGTGTGAAATGCTTCATGAGTATATAGTTCTTTTCAATACATAGCAGCTATCATCAAATACATTTTTGCTTAAAGGTATAGATTTTCTTCTTCCGGGTGGATCATCAAGATTATTGGTCCTCCTAATTGTCAATCATTCTGGAGATATGTGACGTAAGGTTGTCGTACATACTGGTGTTTTTGGGAGATTCTTTCACAAGTTGTCTGCACTGAAGGCCCAGGTTGGTCCTCCCAGTGACTACACACTGTACACACCGCAAGAGCAGCGCATAATACACGCCTCTCCAGAGGAGACCTGCTTTAGGTGGTTGTAGACACACCGGCAGAGCGGGCAGGGACGTGGCTGCTACTGCTCTCGCTGATGCTTCAGTCACAACGTTTCTACTCGACCAGTAAAGTTGGGCATTCTATTTAGAGAAATCTATTTCAAATCACTTACAGTAAAAGTTATCTACGCCTATAATGTCTGACATAGTGGAAAAAGTCCAAATCTTCTTGGAAAGTGAGCCAGTGTGAGCGATGTTGACAATGACTTGTAAACAGAGCGTGCACATGGAGAGCTGGGTTTGTGCATTTCTCTTGCACACATTTTAGTAGGCGTTCCCTCTGGAGTGGGCGGTTCTTTCATCAAATTTGGGAAAATCTTTGTATATGCCTTTAATAGTAACAGCAGAGAATGCGATGGCTCAATTTTTATGTTTCCAATCTGAGCAGAGCTCTTGATCTCTGAGGACAGTTATCAACATCACAGTGAACTAGCTTTATGAATTGTAAGTGGTGCTTCTAAGTGAATTGTAACAACTGCATTTAGCTTTTTGTTTATAGTCATACTCTGTGCGTGATTGTGTTTCACAATGCTGAAAGTCTCAAATATATATGGTCCATTGTGGAACAAAAATGCATTTTACTTTTCACTTTTTTTTCAACTACCTAACAATACCTGTAAAAGCCGGCACTTAACTTTTACTTCAGTAAAGGAAATACTACTCGGTCATTAGGTAATGAGGTTTGCAATTAGGTTCCCAAATTAAGTTTTTTTTATTCAAATAAACCACTTGCTTTGATGTGCATGAGGAGTTGCATCACAAGGACGTGATTGGGGACTGTGGAACATGGAATGATTGTACTTCCAGTTCTCTCCAGGTTGCTGAAATGAAAAAGCAAAGCCCACAGCTACATAAAAGTCCCTGTTATCTTTGAAAGAAAAAAAGGTGGTGATGCGTCTGCCAAAATAAAGAAGGGCCTCCAGATTCTAAGTTTGTCATAAAAGTAAGTATTTGGAAGAAGGCATGTGTTCAATTGCAGCTGGTATGCTATTAGTTCCTATGCTTAGATTTTCAGAGGTCTTCAACCCAAATATGAAAGCTGATTACGCTGGATAAATAGTAAAGAGAACTTTTACTTTATGAGTGTGGTATTTTGGTATTTGACATTTGGAAAAAATAATGATACCAAAAGTTTAAGTTTAGATAATTTTTTTCATTTTCACCTTTAATATATCCTACAGGGCAATTTGTCCTCTGCTTTGACCCACCCTACAATCCTAGCCCTAAACCCTTTCATAAACATACATGCATGTACACATATCATCTTTATTACATAGCAGCTAACACCTAAAAAATGTTTAACTTAATCTTCTCAAGGTTCAGAAATAAAACTAGTGGCAGAAAGTTGTAAAGGTTCCATGTCTATGTGTTTCCACCCTGAGCTGTGCTCTTGACCTCTCTGGACAGTTTTCAATGTCCCAGTGAGGTAGCTTGGTGAATAGACGCTGCAACATACTCCAGATTCCCTCCATGGATTGCACTCACATTAAGGCAGCCGTTAGGAAGAAGGTACACATGCCTTGAGTTTGCCAAGAATTCAACCTGTGGGTCTAAATTTTATATAATCAATATTCCAATTGTACAAGTAATACAGTATATTATCATGTTTGTTCAAGTTTCTCACCACTTAATCCAATACAACTGAATAGTCCTTGTTGTGTGGTGAGATGGTCCCAAATCCCTGGACATCCCAAATGCCTCAGTTTTTCTTTCAAAACTTGTCGGATCAACATGCACCTTTCAACAATGCGCTTCATCTCCTCTTGCCTGTCAATTAGTTCACAAAATGGCTCTAACTAATGAGTTAAATATATTTAAACAATAACATTAATAGTGAGCTTTAAAGACTCTTAAATTACATTCTCCTCTTACCACTCAACAAAATGGGCTGGATTTCCAAGAATAGTAGCAACAATATGTGCGCCCATCATAGAAGGGTGAGCCCACAAGGATTTCACAATGTCTTCAGCCAGTGACTTCTTCGCTATCAGCAGGGAGTTGTCTCGTAAGACACATAAGAGGTGACCGACAGCTTCACCTGTAAAAGCAAAGCATGGTTAGTACTACTACTTTTAATTTTTTGATTAATCTTTATCTGAGAAAATGGGTGGATTCTGCGTGCCCCAGAGAGAGGGCGTACTGTATCTATGGTTTAGTTGTTGGAGAAAACGGGGCACCAAGAAGAAAGCTACACAGACACAGGGAGGACATGCAAACTCTCCGTAATCAAACCCAGGACCTACTCACCCAGTTTGTAATATGTAATTATTATAAATCTGATCAAATAGATAAAATGTAAATCAGTCAGACTATAGGAATTCCTAATATTATTTTAATGAGCACAAAAAACAAAAGCAAAAACTTAAGGTAAAGAGGTATACAATGTTTCGAGTTTATTCTAGGGTAAAAAAAAAATCATGTAATTATATAACTATTAAGAAGTCATTATACCCCATCCATATTGTGTGCATTTTGTACCGTATTGTCCGAAAGAGTGGGCGAACGACTGCGCACACATGAACTCCATCCCCAGCTCTGCACACTTCTGAATGGGTTTTGCATCACGCCCCAAATCTCCAGTACTCAGAGCTTGCATGGGCAGTAGAAAGAAAGGAAACAGCTTACGCCCCTGTGCAATATTTACAAAAAGAGTGACATATGTGCTGATGACTGCTTGTTTATGTAACAAATTTACCTTCATTATTTGTGTAATTATATCCCATTGATTGTCAGTAAGATCTGCTCCGGTTGGGTAATGGCATGAAGCAGATAGAACCACAACACTTTGATGAGGGGCTCTCTCCAAATCCTCCACAAGCTTATCCAAACAAACACCACGCTGCTTGTTGTCCCAATAGTAATAATGGCGGATATCATCAATGCCTGCTGCCTGGAAGATACTGGCCAGAGAACCTGCAGAAGATAACACATCAAACACCACACACCGAGACATGCCCCAAGACACTGTACCCAACTTCCAATTACATCCTAAACTAAAAGCGTTATTGGTTGAGCAGTCATTAATTGATGTACAATTAATTTATCTCCCATTGGTGAATTCTGCTGTGAGTGATTGGGGAAGGCACTTTACCGGCAGCATGCCCTCATGTCTGCATACGCTGATGAATGTACTATAGGTGCTACTATAGATATAGGTGCATGAAAACGTGAGTATGATCGTTTCTCTCAAGTTGTTAGGCCACACGGCTTTAATTAACAAATATTTTTATTGATTTATCTTATTGCATATATTTATTTATTTCTATTGTGGACATGAAAATAAAATAAAAACACAAAAAAATCACAAAATTGAAAAATCTTATGTTGCCTGCCTCTTTCTTTATCATGTACAAACACAGACTTACTGTATGGACTGCAGCACTTCTTTCTTATTCATCTTTATTTTATTTTATTTTTTATTTTGTTTTTGGACGGATATTCTTTTGATTGATCTAAAAAGGTCAGTGAATATGGAATCTTTAATATTATTCACCAAAACAAAGTTTAATTACCAGGTGAACAAATCTGCATAATGACAGTTACAACTATGATTTTCCCAAAGAGAAAATATGTTTTTTCTAAATCATGGCTGACATGACTCCATACTCATTGGCTTCATTCCTTTCATGTAAACTCATATATTCTCCACTTAACTTTCTTCAACTTATAAATCTGTGATGGTTCTAGAAATCCACTTGAATCAGGAGTAAGAGATTATACAAGAATAATAAACTGACCTATTGAAAAAAGAAACGACTCTGGATGTTCCCATGTAATAAATAACATTCTGTTGTTGTTGAAATTAAAACATTACAAAAAGCATGAACAGTACTTACCATCACACGGGGCAGACAGGAACACTGGGCCTGACCAAGGTGAGTTTTCAAACCAGTCTCTTAAGAGTTCAGCTCCAAGTCGCACAGCCGAATTAAAACCAGGAGTTTGAGCAGCTAAGACCTGGATCAGAAATTATAGCATGGGTAAATCAGTGCTATCCAGGCTGGCACTAATATGAATGATATGAATACTAATACAATGAATTACTCTGCTTTCCAGTAATGGCTTTAAACTCTTCCCCAATGTAACCTTTGTGGCTTGATGGATAAATCCTGTCAGACCAAGAGGCGATGGGTACGCCGGACGATTGGTCGGATCTGTTCTTAACTGGTGTTTTATTTTACCAACAAGTCGCAAATCAAATGTTTGCCCGTCCTCTCCAAAATACTCTGTGGGAAGGGGACAACAAAAATGTCAGTAAGAAAAAGGAAGGCAAACATTATTTGCATGGTCTAATCATATAACGGCACAGTGGCTGAGTTAGCATTCATGCTTTACAAAAAGGAGACTGTAGATGATCCCTATACCCGCCTATACATTTTCTGACTTCTGTGAGTTTTGCATGTAACGCTGACCAAGATGCTGAATTTACAGGTTATTGTTGGTATTGAAAGAGTGGCTCAAATGCAGCGGACAAATTTCTCTTCGGGGACAATGAAATTAAATTCAAGAAATAGTATTAATCCATCCATCCATTTTCTTCCCTTTAATCCATTTCTGGGTAAGGGCAGTCAGAGATGCCACCCAAGTCTCATAGCACCAGCCCCTCACTGACCCTCTGCAGGTGGTGAGTCCACAGGAGGACGGCTGCTCTCTGAGTGTGAGCATAGCCTTGATCTTTCAGTGGGGGCTTTTGGGCAAATTGGGGTTAAGTGTCTTGCCCAAGGACGCAACGACAGCAGACATCAGTGGGAGTCGGTGGAGAAGGTGTAGAGGTGGGAATTGAACCCACGACCTTCAGGCCTGAAGGCCAATGCTCTACCAACTGAGCTACTGTCGCCCCGACAATAGTATTAATATTATTATTAATAGTCTTATCTATCTCTCTTAAATTTGTCAATGATTACACTTCTGTAAGTTTGTTTTCTTTATTCATAAATTCGACACAAATGAAAATGGAATCAGGAATGAGTTTTTTTTTTACTAACCCTAAGTCTGTGTGGTACCAATGATAATTAACATGTATAATAATAACGGCGTATTAGCACCCACTTTCTATACTTATATATGTGTATGGAAATTAGCATATTATAGGCAGAAGACACTCAGGTGTCCCACGTAGGCAGGTCGATGTACTGTAGCTTGAGGGGCTCGGGATTTCCTAAATAAAACGTCTCAGAAGATTTTTACAATATTAATCTGAATCTGTTCGAGAACCATTTGGAGCAATGTAGTTTTGGCCTCTAATTAATTATCAATTCTAATTATAAGTGGGAACAATATCTGCACAGAGGAAGTTCAAACACCAACATCCGCTTCTATTCTATATGTTGCTTCAGCCCTTTAGGTATTGCATATCTCTCGGAAGTACTGCTTCCTGCATTGAGAAGATCAAATGATCAACCAATCCAATCACCTTGACGTCTTGGCGTAGGCCAGTTCCCTATATAAGGGTCCTGCACCACAGCTCTTCTCCTTTCTCTCTCAGCTTGCCAAATAGAAGCTTCGATCTCTGTTAGGATGTCTTCAAGCAAGATTCCTCTCACAGTTGAGATCTTGTCACCCTCTGGTATCAGGCTGCGGATCTACGACTCATCCCCAGCGGCACTCTCCCAAACTGACCTAATCCTGACCGAACTCTGCATCTTCTGCCTGGGTCAGCGTCATGTTGAGGACAGCTTCACTTGTGTGGCTGCTTCACACTCTCAAGGCTCGCTCATGGTGGGCTCACTCATGGTGGGCTCGCTAATGGTGCGCCTCCCTCTTCGCTTGGTTCTTAGGACGCATCTCCCTCTTCGCAAGCATCTGGCCCGAAGGCGGACTACGGTGAAGTGGTAAGCTCCTTCAACAAGGACGAAGTTTAGTGTTACGGCCGCTGGCACTGGGCCGCGCCGTACCGCTTCCCACCCTCCTGTGTTGTGTTGCTGTTCTGCCCAGGCCTCGCCCTGCTGCATGGTGCGCCAGTTATGCGCCCTGTCTCCCAGTCTCCCTTGGTTCTGAGACTGGATCGCACTCTAGTTTAGAGATTAAGCTTGCTCTGGGTGTGTTTTGATTTAGCTGAATTGAGAATCCTTTGTGTTTTTGTTCGACTCTGAAGTGGTCCTGTTAATTAACCTTTCTACATCTTGGTTTTTGTATGCTACAATCCTCTTCCCCTTACGAGCTCAACTATAGGGTAGTAATATTTGGTTTAGGTTGAACTGCTGTCGAACCACACTGCCACTGTATGATAGCAGTCCCTTTACTTGTTGAGTTGAACTATGGCATACGTCATTTTACTGACTTAGGCCAATGACGCGTCCTGTGGCATCAGGCTTGTTACTCCCACAATGTGTACACTTCTATCCCCCTTTCCTCTTCTTCAGCATTTGGCCAGCGCTGCACCTCTGCCATGCGCCTGGAGGCTGTCTCAGCGTTGAGAAGCGTGGAAGCATGCTTAAAGATCGCTGCGTGCTCCCTGCAGCCTCGCCTTTCTTGGGGAGGGAGGGCGTGGCTGCTCGCACCCCTCCTATGCTTTCTAAGTGCTACGGCTCTTCCTGTGGCTAGTTGACCCATTTTTTTTCCCGTTTGGAAGCAGGCTGGGCTCTTGGGAACACAGTGGTTCCGCAGAGTGCTCCGGAGCGCGTAGCCCCAAACAGGGTTTGACTCATCCTACTTCATTGTTTCCACAAGAAGCAGAGATGTGCAGGCCATCCTGGATCTGCTCATCCTCGATGGCTGCATAGCTAAGCGGCTGTTTTACATGTTCAGAGTCAGACAGATCTCAGGGACGCCTATTTCCATATACCCATTGTTCCAGGGCACAGGATGGGGGGGACGGTTGCTTCAAGTATTGCCATCTCCCATTCGGTTCCTCCCTAGCCCCTCGCACCTTCTCCAAATGTGTGGAGAAGGTGCTAGACCAGGGGTCGGGAACCCAAAATGTTCAAAGAGCCATAATTGACAAAAAAACTAAAAACAACATCTGTCTGGAGCCGCAAAAAAAGAACAGCCTTGTATAAGGCTTTTATGAAGTTAACACAGGCTGCAAGATGTATTAGCTATATTAGCCTAATATCTAAATGACAAAGTAAAGGCTACAAATACATAATAATCATTCATTATTTTCACTGCAGCGTGTCGCACCACGCGTGTCGTGAATGACGCAACACGGGACAACTCTGCTTTAGTTTAACTTAAATTTTTTGCCTTCATGCAATTGTAGAAATACAGTAAATAAATCTGCTTTGGGCTCAGAGGTCACATACCTGCATCACTGTCTGCTCATATCCATCACGTCACAGGCTGAAGTTTGCTGGAGCTGAATTAAAATCCTTAATGGCCTTTTCTTTCACCGTCTTTGAGAAGGTTTTGAAGTCTTAAAATAGGTGCTCTGAATTTTTGATGAATGAATCCTTCACGTAATCACCGTGTACGTCGTTTTGCGCGTCATTGTTCCTCGTGTTGCAACAAAACTTTTCATTACAAACATGAAGCAGTCCTTCCTCATTGACTGAAAGAAAATGTTCATTCTCATTCTTAGTCCAGTCTTGTTATCGACTCTTTCTCGTTTTAGCTTTGGGATCCATGTGCACTTAGGCCCCGTCCCAATACTCGCACTTCCACCCTCGCGCCCCTCATTTGCGCGTTCCCGATAAAGGGTGCGAGTGCGTAGGGTGTCCCAATTCTCCAGGGAGGTCTTTGGCCCCGCCCCCTTTGCGCCCCTGATCCACACTTCGCCGTAGCCTGCATCTATGCGCACTCTGGCGAAGGATATTGCCCATAATTCTTTGCGGTACACACCAAAACGTCGGGAAAATGCATTTAAATATAAATTTTGAAATATATATGCAGTATGTGTGTAAATAAGTTTTGCTATGTTACTTGGAAAGAAGCATAAACGTCTGATGAAGAATTACGGACATTGGCCCAGTCCCAATACCCACACTGCACCCTACACACTTCTACGAAGTGTGCATTTGTTCGAAGTGCACACCAGGGTTGGAGTGCGCAGGTTGCAAGTGTGCAAAAAAGGCAGAATTGGGACAGTGCACACTGAGTGCAGGTTACGTCATCGACTCGTCAAGAGATGGTCATTTTCAGACCTAAACTTTATAAACATTAAAGGTAATTTTGTCTGACCCTTTGGGAAACAAAATGAATTGCTTCACACACGTTAAAATACATGTATATTAGTTGTTTTTAATTAGAGATAGCTGTATAATTTTAAGTTAAATGTGGGTAACTAACTATCTGGTCAGTTTTTATATATTCTAAGATTATCGTACTAAGTGTAAAGTTTAAATTGAATGTTATATAAACGCTTGTTTTAAAAAGTTATTAAATTGTTAAAACACAATGTCCGTAATTCTTCATCAGACGTTTATGCTTCTTTCCAAGTAACATAGCAAAACTTATTTACACACATACTGCATATATATTTCAAAATTTATATTTAAATGCATTTTCCCGACGTTTTGGTGTGTACCGCAAAGAATTATGGGCAATATCCTTCGCCAGAGTGCGCATAGATGCAGGCTACGGCGAAGTGTGGATCAGGGGCGCAAAGGGGGCGGGGCCAAAGACCTCCCTGGAGAATTGGGACACCCTACGCACTCGCACCCTTTATCGGGAACGCGCAAATGAGGGGCGCGAGGGTGGAAGTGCGAGTATTGGGACGGGGCCATTGTGTTTTAACAATTTAATAACTTTTTAAAACAAGCGTTTATATAACATTCAATTTAAACTTTACACTTAGTACAATAATCTTAGAATATATAAAAACTGACCAGATAGTTAGTTACCCACATTTAACTTAAAATTATACAGCTATCTCTAATTAAAAACAACTAATATACATGTATTTTAACGTGTGTGAAGCAATTCATTTTGTTTCCCAAAGGGTCAGACAAAATTACCTTTAATGTTTATAAAGTTTAGGTCTGAAAATGACCATCTCTTGACGAGTCGATGACGTAACCTGCACTCAGTGTGCACTGTCCCAATTCTGCCTTTTTTGCACACTTGCAACCTGCGCACTCCAACCCTGGTGTGCACTTCGAACAAATGCACACTTCGTAGAAGTGTGTAGGGTGCAGTGTGGGTATTGGGACTGGGCCTTACAGTACAGTCTATGATGCACACACGTCGGTTTGTTTACAGCAGCGGCCGATGGGGCGGGGCCGCGTGACCGCGCGTCATAGGATATGACGTTCTACGTTGACAGAAATGTTGAAATTAGATATTACTT